ACTCAACTCCTAGGTCTTTCTTCATTCCATCAAGTTGACAGTCCAGTTTGGTCAGCATAGGCTATAACTCTGGCACTTAGAGGGTGGAAGCAGGAGGATCAAGAGTTCAAGGTCAACCTGTGCTGTATAGTAAATGTGAAGCCAGCCTTTGATATAGGAGATTCTGCCTCAAAACAAAACAAAACAAAACAAAAAACCATTAACTATCATGCATAGCTAACCTCAGATATGCAGAAGGGTGTATATGAAAGTTTCCTACCACCAGGCAGTTAACGTAAGCAATTGTATATTCATGTACAGTCTATCCATATACAATTTTTTTTTTGTGTGTGTGTGTGTTGATAACACAAATAACTGTATTGCATGGTATCCACTGTCCTATATCTTTTCTCCTCCTTTGATGATCTAGAGATTAAACCCAGAGTATCACTCGTTCTAGAAAAGTGCTCACTGCCACTGAGATAGTCCTCATCCCTATTCTTCTCTATGTAACGGTGCTGTAGCTTGGTCATTGTTCTAGATTAGTCTAAAGGAAGTACCCTCATTCTTTCTCAACATGAGGCGCTTTATGTTGTCTTTGAGATGGGGTCTCATGTATCCCAGGCTGGTCTCAAATTGACTGTGTAGTATGAGGATTATTTTGAACTTCTGATCCTCCTGCATGTGCCTCCCATGGGCTGGGGTTTCAGATGTGTGCCACCATGGCATTCCCTATTTGTGCCGTGCTAGGGACTGGGCATGGGACCTTGTGTGTGCCAGGGAAGCACTCTGCCAGCCGTGCTCCAGGTCCAGAAATCCAGCCCCTTGAGCCCCTCGAGCCCCTTCCCGAAGTATTGTTTAAGCTCCGGGAATCCATGTTAGAGGAAGGGGCAAGAAAACGGTCTGGGTTCGTTCACATCCTGCTCCAACTTACTGGATTTCTAATGCTTCCTGTTTTGATTTAAACAAAAAGATTCAGAGGCAAAGCTGTTGGACAGTCACCCTTCTCAGGAGATGTAAAATGTGACTGAGGCCAGGACTTGGAATAGTTGGAATATTGTACATGCCCTCAAGTCCAAGTTTCTTGCTCCACCTCTCTAAAAAGGAACAGGAATTGTTACCTACCTGCTGGGCTTGTGTTTTAGATAATAGTGCTTGAAACATAGTATTTGCTGATAATTGTGAAGACCCAGCTCATCCTCGGTGTGTATTGTCCTTTTCTTAAGAACTGAACTTGCCCTGTAATAGAACCAGCTCAACTCTATTGGGTCACGTTACTAAGCAGTCTGCTCCTTCACTTGTGGCTTAATCTGGGACATCAAGACATTTCCCCTAATATTTCAAGACATTTCCCCTTTCAGTATTTCTGGACCCCTCTCCTCACTGATTTCTTTTTTTTCTGCTCCATGAAGGGGCCAAGGTGGCTGAGGGACATATAGTCCTATAATCTCCCAGGTCCAAGTTCATCAAGGAACATTCAAATCTCCCAGTAATCCCAGCCAGGGTCTCCCTCGTGCTCCTTGAATCTAGTTGGGTCTTATGGCCACGTTGTTGTCATTTCATGTAGTCCCGGGTTTGAGATGTTCTGACTCACTCTGAGTCATGTGTACTTCTAAAGCAGGGAGTGGGGGGGGTCCAAAGCTCATCCGAAAGTGCATGGAAAATGGATGTCCCTCAAGAGAAAGCCGGGGTTCTGTGCTATCGTCAGTTTATCAGTATAAGGAAACCAGTGCATATTCGCCACATCCTCAGTGCACTGAAGCATTTGCTAGTTCTTTTTTGTTTTTTTTTAAACATTTATTATTTGCTTTGTTTGTTTATTTGGAAGGCATGGGGAGCATGTGTACTACAAAAAGTATGTGTGTAGTAAAGAGGACAACTTTGGGGGAACTGGTTCTCTCCTTCCATCCTGTGGTTCCTGGGGATGGAACTCAAGTTGTCAGATCCCCTGAAACTGGAGTTACAGGTGGTTGTGAGCCACCATGTGGGTGCTGGGAATCGAACTCAGGTCCTTTAGAAGAGCAGCCAGTGCCCCTGACCACGGAGCCATCTCTCCAGCACCTGGTTGTCTTTAGAATACCTTTTCAGGAATGCCATGGACACATGCTGGCATCACTTCTGGGCTTTGCAAAAGGTCCCGCAGATGATGCTGTTATTTGATGAAAAGGAATTTGTATTGCCTTTCCTATCTGCAAGAAGGTCTAGACCTTTTTTTAAAAAAAAAAAATGTATCTTCCTGGTAATGTTTGTAAATCTAAGAAAATATGATAAATAAAGTGCTTACTTATAGAAATTCCTAATCTAAATTAGGAATCGCAAGCAATATTTTAAGAAAACTATTGAGGAATGAGTTTATGGGCCCCAGGCTGGAGCACTTTTGCTTTTGTGGGACATTTGACCATCACCCCCCCCCCCAATTACCTCCTCTCTTTCCCTACAGCTGGCTGAACAGGCAGGTCCTAAGCAGTTAAGACGTGAGATTAGCATTTTTATTGTCCCATTCCACAGCTAGACCAAGCCTTTGAAGTTCTTGTTGGCTGGTGCCAAGATTCCATGGGAGTATAAGATGATTTATTGTGGAGTCACGGCCCCTTTTCCAGCACCCTGGGCTACAGGGCAAGTTGCAGCTGTCTGTCTTACTTGCTGGTGGCCCATGAAAGGATGAGGCAGGCTGACTATCAGGGCTGTCTGTCTCTTGAGAACAGAATACAGTCTGTCAAGGTAGCCTGAGCTTCTGGGACTAGAACCTTCCGAAGCTAGCCAGCCTACACTTTCAAAATCCCCTCCCTCTCCTCAATTCCAGGTTTATTTGTTTTTTTAAATTTTAATAACACCTCCCCACCCACCCACCCCCGTATGTGTGTGTGTGTATGTGTGTGTGCATGTGTGTATATGTGTGTGTATGTGTGTATATGTGTGTGTATGTGTGTATGTGTATGTATATGTGTGTATGTGTGTGTATGTGTGTGTATATGTGTGTATATGTGTGTGTATGTGTGTGTATGTGTGTGTGTGTATGTGTGTGTATGTGTGTGTATATGTGTATGTATATGTGTGTGTGTGGTACTAGGGCTCAGACCAAGGGTTGCAGACCTGCTGAGCATGTGGTTTCCCATTCAGCTCTCTCCCCAGCCCCCAATTCTAGTTCTTTAGTGGAGTTGATTATGAGGTGCCGGTGCCTTATGATTCGTGACTACACCCTCCAGATAACCAGGAAGAGCTCAGCTGAATAACTTACAGAACCGTCACAGACAGGTACATTAACGACAGAAGAGAGCTGGGTGTAGACGTCACTCCCTGCCAGCGACTCTGGGGGGCCTGGACAGTGGCATGAGAGGCGGAAGAGCGAGAAGAGCGTGTGTGGGTGCACACGTGACGCCATGTGCTCCCCCTTGGCCTCTCTTCTCTGCTGCTGTGCACTGGCATGTTGCTCGCATCCATTCTGTGGCTCTGCAAATGCTTCAACAGAGCATGCTGGTTTGTAATCAAAGGAATTTTGCATCGGATTATATTTTTATCTGCAAGGGAAAAACTGGAGGTAGATATGGTGGTGAGAAGGGCCCCCACAGGCTCACAGTTGAACGCTCAGTCCCCAGGGAGTGGCGCTATCTGAAGGGATTAGAAGGATTAGGAGGTGTGGCCTTGCTGGAGGAAGTGTGTCACTAGGGGGTGGGCTCTGAGGTTTCAAAAGCCCAAGCCAGGCTTTCTTGTCCTATGGATCAGGAAGTAGCTCTCAACTACTGCTCTAGTGCCTGCCTGCATGCCGCCACACTCCCCGCCATGATGATAATAGACCAAGCTTCTGGAACTGTAAGCAAGTCCCTAATGAAATGCTTGCTTTTATAAGAGCTGCCTTGGGCATAGTGCCTCTTCACAGCAATAGAGCATTGGCTAAGACAGAAGGTAAAGAGCTAGAAAGAGCCCCCAGCTGGCCCTCTCCACCTCCTCCCCACCCGCCACACATGTCTCTCTGAGGCAGGGCCACAAAGTCTGTGAGACCCAAAGAGACCCAGAACCAAGTCCTGGAGAAATCTACCAAGTATTTCGTATCTACTGTAAAACACCTGGGATCCAGGCTGAGCGGATTGCTCAGGAGGTAAAGGTGATTGCCACCTGATGATACAGGCCTGGTGACCTGAGTTCCATCCTCTTTACTCATCTAGAGATGGAAGGAGAGACCTGTCTCCACAAGGTTTTCCTCTTACCCCCACATGCGCATGGTGTCATACATGCACCCCCCCCACACACACATTCTACATTCCCACACATAATTGTTTAAAAAAAAAAAAAATAGCCAGTTGGTGGTGCCACACATTTTTAATCCCAGCACTTGGGAGGCAGAGGCAAGGTGGATCCTGCGTTCGAGGCCAGCTGCTAACTAGGTCTGGGCCCAGAATCTGGGCCAGAGCGAAATGACGTCGCTGGTATTTTGGTATTAATTTGATGGTATGGTAGATGTCAGGATCTTTCTTTTTAAAATGTTCAGAATCCTCACCGTTTTAAACAAAGCAGGCCAGAGACGTGTTTAGCACATTGCATTTGAGTCTATATTAGCTCTTAACCACTGACTCATCTTCCCAGTCCCTGGCTAGGCATCATGGGGTGGGGGTGGAGGGGATCCAAAGTAATCTTCTCAAGTCCGTAGTTCCAAAGTGGCAGGATTGCTCCGAAGTCCATCTAGATCTGAAAAGCAAATGTGCCTAAAGCTCTGGCCTCCGTCGGTGAGGTAGGAGTAGGCTGTCCAAGCAGTCTCAGAGGAGGAGGTCCATGGGTGAGGCCCCACAGCAGGGCCTGTGTGACAGACGGGCTGATCTGGCTGGCTGCCGTTCAGGTCCACGCAGCAGCGTTCGCTCTTCTGCCTGGAACTTAGAGAGGCTCAGCCCCTGCTCGGCTCTGGCCAGAGCTCCCTGATGGGAGGAATGGTCCTTCCTGTCCTCCAGCCTTGCCTTCCATCTCTCGGGGAGCCTAGGACTTGTTTCCTGGAGTCCTTGCCCTCCCTCCCTCCTTGTGGAGGTAGACAGTCGGAAGAGCTCATTGGAAAAGGGTCGCAGGGCTTCTAGGCAGCATGGGAAGAAGGGGAGAGAATGGGGAGAGCCAAGAAACTGGATGAAATTGCTGACTAATATCTGCAGCCCGAGTCACCCACATAAATACAGTGACCCCCCCCCTCCTCGCCCGTGCTTAAAATAGCTCACTGTACCAGAACACTGAAAAACAGATGTGCTTGGTTTTTTTTGAGTTATTGATTCAGCAAACATTGGAATCTCTCTGTCCTCTGGACCAAGCCCCGAGGTTCTCTCCCATGTATTGCTCATTTGAGACTTGGAATTCCTATTCCTGTTTCACAGAGTGAGGCCTGCCTTTAGCGTGGACTAGAGCAGAAAGGCCCATTTCCTTTGCAAATCTACACAGTTTTCACTGCACTGCCGCCTCTTTAGAATTGTGGCCTTGAGAAAATCACCACCCCTCCATGAGCCTTAGGCAGGGGCTGGGAAGATGGCTCAGCGGTTAAGACACTGGCTGCTCATGCAGAGGACCCGGGTTCAATTCCCAGCACCCACGTGGCAGCTCACACCTGTCTGTAACCCCAGTTCCAGGGCTTCTGACACCCCCACACTGACATACAAGCAGGCAAAACACCAAATAAAATAAAATTTAATTTAAAAAGATAGAAACCAGGGCCTTACACGTGGTAGGTCAGTGATCTAGGGGCAGATTGCTGGACTTCGCTGCCTGCACTGTGGTCCCCATGCAGTGCAGCAGAACACGGAGTGGACAGTGAAGGGTCAAGCCCCAGCATATCATAGGGCTCCAAGTTTCATCTGCCCGGCAGAACCCCCAGCATGCTTTGTGGCTGCCTGCTGGCTCTTCTATCTCCTGCATTATGTCCTTCTTCTGGGCAGAAAAAAAGGATAAAAGTAAGGAACCAAGAGAATCTACCAACCAAGGCTTCCCTCCCTATCCTTTACACTTCTAGCCTCTTATTGAACTAATGTTAACTAATTAATGAACTAATGTCGGAACCAGAGGGAGGCTGCAAAAGCTATATACAGAATTCCTCTGCCCTTCACCCAGATCCTTCAAATGGAAGCATTCTTAATCACTTCATTCTCTGCAAATACATACATTTCCTCCTGAGCCATTCCTGAGGAATTTATTGGCATGCCCCCAAAGACTTCATCATCCAATTCCTGAAGATGAAACTGTTTTCTTAAATAACACAGTGCTGTGATCAAACCAGGGAATTAGCTGTGATGCTTTGCTGTTTTCTTGTCTCTAGACCTTTAAAGTTTTTTGCTGTAGTCTTACTAAATACCCTTTTAAGAGGGATTTTGTTGTTGTTGTTCTGGTCCTGGATTAAATGTTTCATTTGGATGTTCTGTACCTTTAGTTGTATTTAATCAAGAATAATTTCTTGGGGCTGGAGAGATGGCTCAGAGGTTAAGAGCACTGACTGTTCTTCTGGAGGTCCTGAGTTCAATTCCCAGCAACCACATGATGGCATCACAGCCATCTGTAATGAGACCTGGTGCCCTCTTCTGGCTTGCAGGAACACATGCAGGCAGAACACTGTAAACATAATAATAAAAAAAAAAAAAAAAGAATAATTTCTTAAGATGGGCAGTGGTGGCAGCGGCGGCGGCAGCGGCACAACACACACACCTTTAATCCCAGCACTTGGGAAGAGAGACAGGCAGAGTGAGTTCAAGGCCAGCCTGGCCTACAAAGAGAGTTCTCGGACAGCCAGGACTGTTACACAGAGAAATCTGTCTTGAAAAACAAAAACAAACACAACACAACAAAACAAAAACCCAAGAGAATAATTTCTTTTAAAAAGAGAAGAAGAGGGGCTGGAGAGATGGCTCAGAGGTTAAGAGCACCGACTGTTCTTCCAGAGGTCCTGAGTTCAATTCCCAGCAACCACATGGTGGCTCACAACCATCTGTAATGAGATCTGGCGCCCTCTTCTGTATACATAATAAATAAATAAATCTTTAAAAAAAAAAAAAGAAGAAGAAGAGTAGGGCTTGGGCACGCTAAGGAAATGCTCATTGGTTCAGAACACTTGCTGCTCTTGTGGAGGACCTGTGTTTTGTTCCCAGCACCCACATGGCAGCTCCCAACCATCTAGAACTCCAGGTCCAGGGAATCCAGTGCCTTCTTCTGACCGCCATGGCATGAGGACACAAGTGGCACATTGTACAGACATTCGGGCAAAACTCGGTACACGTCAAATAAAGAATCCTTTCCTGGGCTGCTGAGACGGTGCACCGAGTCAAAGCATTTCCCTTCCCGAGGACCAGAGTTTCGTTCCCAGCAGCTCCTCTATCAGGAGCTTCCAAACACCGCTTGCAACTCCAGCTCCAGGGCATCCCATGCCTTCTTCTGGCTTCCCCGGGCACCTGCATTCACCTGCATGTACACATATACACCTAGTTAAAAAACAAAACTGTAACAAAAAGAGTGGTTTCTCTCTTTCCCTCCTCGACTTTCGAGGTCTCCTCTTGTTTCAGCCTCATGTCCAGAGGTTCTACACTCTGCAGAGAGTTCAGCACATCACATTTTTCCATCATTAGTGATTTTTTTTTTAAGAGAGAGTATCATGTAGCTCAGGCTGGCTTTGAACTTGCCATCTGCCTCCACCTCCCACCCAGGTGCTGGTCTTTGTAATTAATAAGTTGCACTCGTGGTCTGTGTCTGTGTCTGTGTGTATGCATTGTTTTGTTTTTGTGGTGCTGGGACTAGAACTTAGGGTCTTGTATGTGCCAGGCAAGTGCTCTGGTACTGAGTAAAACACCCTGCACTATGAATAGTGAGTGCTCTTTCCTGCTTCCCTGGTGGTTGCTCCTCTGCCCCCTAAGTGGAAAACTTTCCAAGAAGCAGTCTTTTGACTTCCATCCATTTTGCTAAGAATTGTATCCAGTTGTAGTTGGGAGAGGGTCTGAGAAATAATAATTTTGTTGTTTTGTTTTGGTGTGGGCATCTTAATAGAAAGAAAAAAATGGAGCCAATGCTGGAAGTGGTGTTGCATGCTTTAATCTCAGCAGTTGGAAGGTAGAGGCAGGAGGAGCTCTGTGAGTCAAGGCCAGCCTGGTTTACATAGAGAGTTCTAGGACAGCCAGGGCTCTGTAGAGAGACCCTGTCTCAAAACACACAAAACACAACAAACCAACCAATAACAACAACACTCCAAAACCACCTAGATGGAAACAGCGTCATGTTCAGATAAAAGCTTGTCTCAGAGTTCTTCGGATTTGGATCTTTTCTCCTCCCTCCATGGCGCAGACAGCGGAGCTGTATTGGCCTTGTGATTGTTCACTTATTCCCCCAAGGACCGGGTCAGAGAATAATGACATTTGCTCAGCTTTATAAATAAACACAGTCATTGTTATTCTTTGTAGTTTTTAAAATATTTAACGGAAAGGAAGAGGGAACTGTAAAAATGTTTTCCCCTCCTGACAGTTCTAAGAATTGGAATTTTAAAATTGCCTTGCGGTTGAGTTAGTTTGAAAGAGCATGAACATTTAATGATGATTGGCAGCAGAATCTCACTTCATTTAACTAAAACTTTTACACTGAATGTCATGAAGTAATAATATCAGTACATGACAGAAATAAAGTACGGTACTAAGAGAGGAACAAACCAGGTTTGAGTTCCATGCGTGGAACGATCACAGCTTGTTTAAACTAAACAGATAGGGGCTGGGAAGAGGCTCAGTACTTGAGAGCACCTGCCGCTTTTTCAGAGGACCTGGTTCAATCCCTAGCGCTCTAGTGTGGGTTCACAGACATCTGTAACTCCAGGTCCAGGTTCGATGACCTCTTCTGGCCTCCTCTGGCACCGGTCAGCATGCAGCGCACAGACACACTTGCAGGCAAAGCACCCATACACAGGATAAAAACTAAAGCATGTACACAGCGGAAACTTAGGAAGAAGTGCAATAACGTGTGAATAAAGAGTCTGGCCCGGCCTGGTGGTGTGCACCTTTAATCCCAGCACTCAGAAGGCAGAAGCCCAGTTCTGTGAGCTCTTGAGAAATCTCTGTGAGTTGGGGGGCTAGTCTCGCCTACATAGTGAGTTCTAGTACAACCAGGGCTATGAAGAGAGGCTCTGTCTCAAAAAACAACAAACAAAATGAGTATTTATATTTTGGGGTCAGGCGTGGTGGCGCATGTTTTTAATCCTAGAACACTTGGGAGGCAGAGGCAGACAGATTTCTGTGTATTCAAGGCCAACCTGCTCTAATAGCAAGTTCCAGATCTGGTTCATAGTACTTGTGAACTTATCTCAAAAAAAAAAAAAAAAAAGGCAACAACAACAAAAGTAATATCTTTATGGGAAGATCCTGGGTGATTTTTCTTTATACTGTTAATACTTTCTAGCTTTATTTTTCCTTTGGAGATAGGGTCTCACTATGCAGCTGGCTGACCTTGAACTCAGAGAGATCTGCCTGCCTTTGTGCCTGGTCCCTTCTGCTTTTTATTTTTGTTTTTTTTTTTTTTAATAATCACAAAGAACAGATTCCTAAAACATGTCCATCAGAGACAGCTGTGAAAGGGAAGCATCTTTGGAGTCCTGAAAAGTCTGCTAACCGACTTGAGGAGAGCCAGGGGCTGTGATTGTGTCTGGCGCCTGAGCCCAAATGTCATCCCTTCCACTTTGATTTCGTCATGACCGTCCTTCTGACCTTGCTTTCCTTTGCTCATCTTATCGTTTCCTTTTAATGTCAGGTGGATGACTAGATGAAGAGACAAGACAAAATTAAGAAAGATACAGTTTGGTTTATTAGGAAGAACTATAAGGCTTTATCCGTATTTACTCAACAATCATGGGCTGAGAGCCGTGCCGCTGCTGATTAGTAATGGTTAAAACAGACAAAATTACTGCCCTTATGGAAGTTACATTTTGGAGTAGGAAAACAGGGTAACTTAAGAGGTCCTGGAAAGACACCCGGATCAAAAACTACCTGCCCTACCACCTGCATTGTGTGAGATGATGCCATTTAGAACTAGGCTTTTGGTGAAGGACCCTC